TCCGGTGTGTGTTGGTCTCACAGAACAATGTAAACAATGACACTTGGGTAGAAATACTCAATACACAAATCAAATGTCTTGTTTTGTCCGATCGTGAGTTCAAACCCCAAAGATCCCAAAGTTACTGTTGAACCAGAAACAACATGTTTGCTTGAATCTGTGTTTTCATAATATTTTTGCATGAATTCTTTCTTGATCAACAAAGTTGATTAGTCAGCTTATTGTTGCAGGAGGACGTTTTAACCTTTTATAATTTAAGTTCACTACATTTCTTTCTATTTCCCAGAGAAGGACCGGCTGCTCTCGTCCACGACCAGCTATGGGTCCCAGGACCTTCTCGGGGGTGGGAGCCCACGCCCCGCTGATCTGGTGGACTCTGAGCTCCACCACCAGCAGCAGGAGGAAGAGGAGGAGGAGGAGGCTCTGAGGAGGAAACTCAAGTACTTCTTCATGAGCCCTTGTGACAAGTATCACGCTAAAGGACGCAAGCCGTTCAAACTGGGCCTGCAGCTGCTCAAGATCATCACCGTCACTGTGCAGGTGGACGCAGCTCTTCATTTTACAAGTCCAAGAGTTTGTTTTGTTCTGTGCCGTAGCTTCTGTCCCGCGTTCGCTCGGCTCTTGAATCTGTTTGTGTTTTGACTCTGTCTCTTAGTTGGTTCTGTTCGGACTCAGCAACCAGATGGTCGTGACGTTTAAAGAGGAAAACACTGCGGCGTTCAAACACCTTTTCCTCAAAGGTTATCAGGACAACGCTCCTCAGGCAGTGCACACGCAGAAGGAGCTGTACAGCCACATGCACTTCGCCATCGAGCAGGTGACAACACGTCCTACCTCCATCAGCTTACACACGCTTCAGTGTTTCCTGTGGAGGAGAGGAGCTCCCTCTACTGAAGACGTTCAGCTTTTTAAGTTTGCTGAAGTTCTGCATTCACAAAAATCCATAAAACACACGGGAGGAAATCATGTATAATAAAGGTTTGTCTCCCGTCCAGTACATGGCTCTGCCCGACATCTCGCTGGGACGATACGCGTACGTGTTGGGCGTCGGCGAGAACGGAAGTGCGCTGTCCCTCTGCCAGAGGTACTTCAGGAAGGGAACCATCGACCCCGTCAACGACACCTTTGACATCGATCCCCACGTTGTCACCGGTAAGTGAAAAGCGACGGCCTTGTTTTGTTTTTTTTATCCAGCGTCTGTATTTTCTTGGCCCTGAAGGAAGTGACTGTGTCAGTGAGTCATTCTGCTCCACGCATGTCGAGAGGTGCCCTGAAACGTTGTCCTACTTTCAGAGCCTCGACACAGTCCGGTTCTCAGAGAACACACTTTTTTTTTTTTTTACCCACAAGCTTTAGGAGCTACACATGGGAAAGCGTGTATTTGCATACACCTGCAGAGATAGCTGTCGGCTATGAATGAAAAATCTTGTGACCAAAATAGATTAAGACGAATAAAATCAATGTTAGGCTCCAAGGAAACGATTTCAATGCTTTGAGGAAGTGCTGAAACGTGGCTTAGGCTGCATGTGATGTGGAAAAAGATGATTTATATGGTTTTTAAAATAAAATGTCCCCATGTGATAGTTTGTAGTTCCTCTAATGCTATTTTCAGGTTTTGTCTTTTTTTCCCCCCAGATTGCCTTGGAGTGGATCCCATGAATTACAGCTTTGGAAACAGTGACTACAAGAATTTCACTCTCAAGTTTTACAAGTTAGATGTTATCATGCTTCTTTTTTTTCTCATCGTTTGACACAGAGAAGTTTTTTTTGTTTTTTTTCCTGTTACAGCTTCAACACATTGAATTCTCTGTGTGTCTCCAGGATGATCAATGTGACCATTGACTTCCAGCTGAAGGCCATCAACATCCAGACCATCATAAACAATGAAATCCCCGACTGCTACACCTTTGCCATCACGGTGAACTACCTCCCCCGTGATTTCAGATAGAAATCTAGTTTTTCCAATTTAAGTGTTCAGATCAACTAATTTAGTTGTTTAGATTCTGTTTGCTTTCTAAAGTTAAAACAATAATAAAATAACAGATAAATAAATAAATGTTGTATAAACAGACTGAATGAAATTACACATATTGGATGAGATTGCAAATACTGATAATATATAGATATAATCGACGTGGTGTATTGTAAAGAAGTGTCAACAGAGTATATTGCTCTAGAAGACGTCCACATCCACTGTTTGTATATTTAGTTCTTCTACGTCTTTTATCAGATCGTCATGGACAACAGAGCGCACAGCGGCAAAGTTAAGATCCGTCTTCTGAACCAGGCGTCCATAACAGAGTGTAAAGACCCCAATGTGTCTGGACACGGTGAGTGACTGGAGCTGGACACGCTGCGCTGGAGATATTCGTTCCTCTGTCTCCTGATATCAGCTCTATTGTCTGTAGCTTCTCCGTTTGGGTTTGATCCCCCCCGGTTCTCTTCTCTTGTCCTCTGGCAGCGGAGAGCTACGCCCGGGAGTTATTTGACGTGCTGGTGGCGATAGTTTGTCTTTTGTCCCTGCTGCTGTGCGGGCGCTCCATCCTCAGAGGCGTCCTCCTGCAATATGTAAGAAGGCCGAACACACGCTTATGCAACACTAACGTTTTCAACACTGTTTGAAAAGTCGCTCTCTGCTGCTGTGGTGAGATCCTGGTGGCAACAATCAAACCCAGGGAGGTCAACTAGTCTCAGCTGTGCCAATCACCATCTCCTTGGGTCACCTGGAGGTGCTCACTGAGCCTCATCATTAAAAAGAACAAGAATATAGAGCGCACATGAATATATATATAATATAACACAGTTCACCATAGGAAACACACAAAAAAGCACCAAGCTAGAGCGTCTAGAGCGGCTGCACTCACACGCACCATCTTAGAAACACCTACAAGGCTTCGGGCTGCAGGAGGAGACTTGAGTACCCGGGAAAATCATCACAGAAAGAACCATGATTCCGCCCGTACAGTGAGAACCACTGCCCCAAAACAATTCACCAAGTTCAATCCAAGTGGGTCAAAACGTAATTCTTAATGTCACTCATAGAGATGAACAGAGATTAGCATCACACACTGGGACACAGTTCCACAATCCTCCAGGTTACAGGAGTAGAACATCACCTCCGGAGGATAAGACTGCAGCTTTTTTTTATATGTTTCTCCTTTGTCCCTTCCCAGGAGTACGTGCGGTTCTTCAATGACAGACTTGGCCGCAGAGTAAGTTGGGGCGAGCGGATGGAGTTCATCAACGGTTGGTACATCCTGCTCATCGTCAGCGACGTGTTCACCATCGTCGGGAGCTTCATCAAGATCGGGATCGAGTCCAAGGTAATGTGGCAGATGTTGAGAAGTCGTCGGGGAAGAATGACGTCGTCGGGGGAGCTGAACTGAAAAGTGCTTTTTTTTCCGCAGCGCTGTTCATTCTGATTAATGATGTCACTGTTGTGATGCAGAATTTGTCATCGTATGATTTGTGCGGTATCCTGCTGGGAACCTCCACTCTGCTGGTGTGGGTGGGAGTCATCCGCTACCTCAGCTTCTTTCAGAAATACAATGTATGTGAAACACACACACACACACACACACACACACACGTATCTGCTGCTCTTTCTTTGAAGTGTAAATCTCTTCTGCGTCTCCGCCACAGATCTTGATTGTGACTCTTCGAGCTGCTTTCCCGAACGTTATCCGCTTCTGCTGCTGTGCCGCCGCCATTTATCTGGGATACTGCTTCTGTGGCTGGATTGTGCTGGGGCCTTATCACGCCAAGGTAGTGAACACACACACACACACTGCCTCTAAAAAGACATGAGGCGGAATGAGTCATTCAGACCAGAGGTGCACGTCATCACAGCCTAATCATAATAAAAAGCCCTCCAGCATATCGTCCATGCAGCTTGTGTTTTATTAATGAGAGAAGAAGTTTGACCTTTATTAAATATGAATCATGAAAACATTATGTGATATTGTTTTGTGCTTTTGCGGAAGAAGGAAATAAAAAAAACAATCCTTACATTTAGCAGCTAATAAAAAAAGCTCATTGACAGATGAAGAGATTAATAACTTGTGACTCTGTTGATATTGACCCTGCACAGTTTCGCTCCCTGTCCATGGTGTCCGAGTGTCTGTTTTCTCTGATCAACGGGGACGACATGTTTGTAACGTTCGCCGAGATGGAGCGAAGCGGCACGCTGGTGTGGATCTTCAGTCAGATCTACCTCTACACCTTCATCTCCCTCTTCATCTACATGGTGCTGTCCCTCTTCATCGCTCTCATCACCGGGGCCTACGACACCATCATGGTACGGTACAGTCTGAGCGGTGGTTTCAATTCAGTTCAATCTCAAGCTCGCGGCAGTGTCACCCTGTCGGTCCGTCCGCCAATCTGGTCCCGACTGTAATATCTCAACTATTAAGTTCTACGTTTGATTTGGATGAAGCAGAAAAGTGACCAGTCACCGGGGGCATAAGTAGAAAATGCTCAGCTTAATGTTTGTTGACCCACACAGGCCCAAACACAGGAGCAGGTGCGCATCACCGACCTGCACGCCTTCATCGCTGAGTGCACGGACACGCCCTGCTCCGGCAAGTTCCGTGGCCCCGAGGGGTCGTCGTGCTCCTTCCTCTGCTGCTGTGAGTGGTGAAGAGGATGTGAGAGTAAGTAAAGAGATTTGCTTTTCTCCTGAAACCACCGTGTTTCCACTCCAGTGACGGCTGATTGCAATTTCACTCCTTTTTTCTTTTTCTTTTTTTCCAGAAACCCGGCAGGGACGATAAATGTCTTGACAGTGAACTGACTGACCTTGGAACATTATGTCCTCTGTGCCCGTGTTTGAATTTTGCATTTAAATGAATTCTGGAGCAGTAGAAGGCAGAACTCAGTCACAAGGCCAATTACCTGCTTTTGTACCGCATGAATAATTTATGGTTTCTTTTCTGAAATCTTAAGTTTGTCGAGGCTTTGATGACGAGACACTTAATGCCAGTAAACCAAGTAAAAGGGATGCGAATCTTCTCGTAAATTATCATCAATGTTTTTATAATTTTACTTTCTACGCTACTTAGGAGACATTCATTCGTGACCCGTGATTATGTAAATATATGTATGCATCTGGATCTTCATAGCAGAAGTAGAAAAGACACAGGAGAGGCAGGCAAGCAGAAAAAACGAGCGGCCATTAACTCCTGTGTGTTGTGTGCATTAGCTCCTGCAACACTTTTCATCAATTTGGTCCATTTCCTCTCTTCACTCCTCATCCCCTTCTTTCATGTCCGCCTGTAACTGCAAGGAGACGATGGCTGCACGAGGACGGACGAGCCCTGCAGCCAACCAGTCAGTCATCAATATGTATGAGCTGTTTCTGCTGTAAAGAGCCAGGTGCACGCTAATGCACTGCAGGTTGCGCATTTCCTGCCGTTTGGTTTTTAAAGTGCTGCATACGAGGCAGCAAGAAATAATTGTTAAGAAAATGTTAACAATTACACATAGTCCCGGCTTCCGCTGCCCTTTTAGCCGCCATTTTTTATTTGTTATAACAAGATGAAGCTCCAAGATGTGCAAGTGTCAAAGTTTATTTTTCAATTCCAGGAAACGGGGAACAACTGATTAACTTTTAAATTATTTATTATTTTCATGCTGTTTTTAATCCCTGGACATGACACATTTCTAAGGTTTAACTACGAACCGGCTGTTCTTCATTGATGCTTTTTAAACACATGTCACTGAACTTACTTCAGTGGGAACGTCCTGCCTGCATGCTGTGCAAGGTCAGATGAAGGACGCTCAGTGGAAAAGGGACGTTCACTACACAAACTCTGATCAGGAATGTTTGATGCTCATGTATTATTATTATTATGTTGCGTTTACTGAAATGAACGGATAATGTTTACAGTCACAACAGGTACCGTGAGTTTATTCACAGTTTATGTGCACTTCATGAAGAGCGATGTACAGCGTCTCTTGATTCAAATGTGTCACTTGGGAGCCATATAGCACAATAGAGCACTGCACTATGTGTGTAATGCATCTGTTAATGTTCTCCCGACGCTCCTGGGAAGGTTCTTTCGTGCAAATTTGATTTAATAGTAACCGTTTGACTGCTCACTAGGTTTGTTTACACGTACTCCGTATGCTGTCTTAATTATTTTACCTGGTTTCCAGAGGAGGTGTGTACTTGTTAAAAGGGAGTTTGTGTTTTAGTGCACAGGAGGAAGTTTTACAGGTTTTTACCTCTTTTGTATTGAATGTTTTCTGGGATGATTCTGTCTTGTGGGAGGAAGTAGACGTCAGCAAAATAAAATGGAAATAATTCTAACCTGAATATTATGCAGCTGAGAATCGTGTCTGTTTCCACTGATGCGTTTGTAAATTGGTGCAAAAACATTTGTATTAATGCCACTGAAATAATACGCAGCACATTTTCTGCTGTGGTGCTTTAATTTAAATTGAATTTCATTATTAAATTATCAAAGACAGGTTGACAGGTCGGATTATTACAAGAACACTTTTAATAGTTATGCACTAACTTGACTGATAGAATCGACGTGATACTATAAAATTAAAAAGTAAATTAAAGATTGATGCAATTTGGGAAAACAAAATAATCGTAACAAGAAATAAAGAACTGTTGGAAAATAAGACGAATGAAAAAGCATTAAATAATAAAGAGTTGAGTTTTAATGATTTCTTGGGTTATTTGTTAATTGTTTTTGTTCTATACATGATTTAATCAAACATTTAACTTTATATGATAATGTTAACATGAAGGAGGAAAATTTCTATTTTGAATGATGCTGTGATAGATTGATGAAGAAAAGAGATAAATTTAATATATGGTCTGTATCTGCTGACACTCATGGAGCTGTGGTCTGTGGCGGTGGTGTTGCACCACTAGAGGGAGAGAGTCTGTCTGCAGTCACAGGAAATCAATGCAATCCATAAGCAATAAAGAAATGAGACAAAGCTCAGAGACGGGCACTTTGAGGAGGAGAGGAGCTGCCTTCATTAAAGATGAATAATGCTGAGAGTATAATTAAAGTACTTAACCTTCAAGGGAACCATTATCACAAACTGCCTCTCTTCTCAACACAAGGTAAAGCAGAGTCGGGCTGTGCCAAAGAAAATGCTCGTGAGCTGAAGATGCAAATGGACGAGAAGGGGACGGGGAGTCAAGGCACAAACTGTACGTGCACACTCAGTCCTCTTAGTGCGGTGGAGTGGTATAGTTGTCCAATATGCTTAGTGCCTGCATGCATTATTTACTCCAGGAGGCAAGCAGGGCTGAGACAAAGCACTTAGAATCAGACTGACAGGAACTGGCCAGCTCTGGACATCATCAGGTTTCAGGGTGAAGCTGATTAAATAGAAAAAAACATACAAGACAAGGCCGTGCAGCTGGTTAACTCAGCATGGCAACTCACTTCCAACCCAGTGACTGAGAAAGAAATTTAAATCTGAGGGTGAAAAGGTGATTTATCTTTGCATTTGCATCCAGACCATCACGTTATTCTGTGGAGGACATACATGAAAATAAAGCTCCGTCGATTAGGTTCCTCTGCATCGCCTGTGCATCGCTTCTCCCATGTTGCCTGTCAGCAGGAGCAGGAGCGTCCTGCATGTTAATGATATGCTGTGCTGGCATGTGGAGCTCTTAGGGGAGTCAGTGCTGTGCAAACAGAGCAACAGCCACACAGACGTGTTCTAACCTGTACCCGCCCGCTGTTTACTCTCACACACACACACACACACACACATTTGTGAGATAATGATATTCACGTTTAATAGAGTGTGACACCGCTCGTGCATTTCGAAGCCACTTGTGTGAAGAGGGGTTTGATTTGTGAATGTCTCCACAAAAAGATGGCGGCTGTGTCTGATGTGGTGGGTGTGTCTCCCAGCGGTGCCGGCTCCTCTCTCGGCTGACAGGCAGGAGACTCAGACCTTTGCACGATCTGACTGTACATGCTGCGAGACACAAACCCCAATGAGAACATGCCTGCATGTGCTGCTGGTAATGAGGTAAGACCCCTGACTGGAGGCCGTGTTTTGGGGCTTGACTGAGTGCCAGTCCTTGTGTGCTCTGGCTGCCCCCAGCTGGACCGTGGGCCGGGGGGAAAAAACAATGAGATAAATAGCACGGGAACTGTGCTGCAGGGAACGCAGCCCTGCCCCTTCCTGCCTCCGCTGCCGCTCACCACCGCCCGTGTGAAAAAAACACCTTCCTCTCTTTGTTGTGGCTGGTTGACCATGCCAATATGTCCATCAGCGTCAGGCCAGCAGGCAGAAGGAGTCACCACCCTCTTCCTGGTCTCCTTCCATGTCTCTCGTGCACTTGCACACGCTCCTGGATGATCACACAAACAAACCTGCCCACGGTGACTGTACATGGGTGTCATTTTCACCTCCTGACAACAACAGCATTAATCCTGCAGACATTCCTGTGGGCATGACTTGACCTTCAGTTTTGATTTGGATGCAGCTGAAAGGCCAAGCAGTCTGAGGTCAGTTCACTTCAGGGGAGAAACAAGAGACACATTTCTTATTCCAGTCAGGTGCATAAGTAGTGATAGATAATCATAATAATAAACTTTATTCATATAGCACCTTTAAAATCAGTTTACAAAGAACTTTGACCACAAAGCAAAAACACAATGAGAAGAGAAATAACAATCGGCAGAATGAAATGTGACACTAATGTCGAGGTAGAAAGTAGAATTTAATTTAATAAATAGTTTTATGTCTCACAAACACTTCACCACATAAAAGCAGTAAAAATAAATAAAATAAAAGGTGATTTATGGAAGGAGCACGGTCACCTTTAGTTTCCAGTCTGGACTTTGGAATGGATCAATCTGAGGATCTAAAGTTTTGAACAGGCACATAAAGGGTCAACATATGATGTAGTTTGGGGCCAGTGATCAGTAAAAAAAATGTTTTAAATAAATTCTAAAACAGACAGGGGTCAAATGGAGTGAAGCAAGGATCAGGATGAGGTGATGTCTTCTGTTAAACCAGTAAAAAGTTAAAGCCAGTCGAGCATTTTTCAGTTAAGTGCCATATATTTCCACCCTGAGCCGATCCAAATCTCCCCTTTCCAGCATTTGGAAAGTGTGCACCACCGGCTCAGCGGGCCTGAAGCCCACATCCAGAACAGACCAGCACACAAAGGCCTGGCTCATGTAGACAGGGGCAGGCGGCTGCTGGGGGCTGAGCAGCGGGGGCAGCAGACAGACAGGCAGACAGGCGGCATGCCCTCCTCTCAGACTATCTCTGATGAAAAGGCCCGTTCTGGTGAGGAACGTGGCGGACAGAAACAAAAGGTTTTTAATCCACGAAACAACGCCCCTCAGTGTCGCATTGTGACTGAGAGACAACACTCTCCACTAAAGGCTTTCACGCTGTCTCTGCTGCTCCTTGCTGTATTTCCTGCTGCTTTTAATTCATTTCTTTCTATTTCAGCCTGTTTGTTCATCTCTGTGACTAAACTCACAGGCAGCTACACTTGTTAAGCTGCGTCGGTTCTAAAGATCCCTTTTTGTGCGAGGCCTCTGATCCTACATCCTAATATGGAAATTACTTCTCTAAAATTCAAATATAATCTTTATGAGAATGTTACAATCAACAGGTCTGAAATGTGTAGAGAGATTTCCAGTTCTCGCCCATGTGGTCGGTGGACATTGCAACCACTTTAATGCGTGTGGGGCAGCAGTAATGCACTCTTAAAGTGTGAGTGTGTGAGTGTGAGTGTGTGTGTGCAGTCGTGCATGCAGCAAAGAAGAAAAGGGGTTGCAAGGGACAGAAAAAGGGGGTCCAGGGGCCTAAGAGGGAGGGCAACAGACAACCGGGAGGAACTTGGGCAAGACAGTCGGGTGACTTGTGAGAGGTGACATCATCCTTCGTTTGAATAATCCCTCAGCCTGGGAGGTGATTGGCTGCTCCTGGAGAAAGCGGTTCCCCTGCTATTCGCTATTCACCCCTTTCAATTTCAGCATGGCGCGCTGTGCAGGAGAATGTGGCCTTCATGGACTCGTAGTAAGCTCCTATGGCTGAAGTTGTCATTTGTAACAAGAAAAACAAAGTGAGTTGTGAGCGGATGTGCTCGGTATTTGCCACACCAGATGATGTGAAGACCTGAGGCCCCGTTCAACCCTCCATTTATTTTAAAGAGATGAGTAAAAAAGAGAAAGAAAGAGAAGAGAAAACAACCTTAATTAACAATATGCAAAATATTGCAGCATTTACTGAATTGTTTAGTTTTCACTCATTCCCTCACTTTACTCTTTACTCTCCTCTCACTCATGGCTGAGGGTGGCAGGGCGGATCCAGCTCCACACAAAGGCTTTTTTCTAATGGTGGAAAATTAGACTTGCCAAACAAGTAATGAATTAATAACAGCTGCGTTCCATTTCATTGTGCCAGCACCTGTGAGCGTCGCTGGTATTAACCTGCTGTGGATCCTCACTCAACAGATGCCCCCCCGGTTCCTTCCACTCTTATGCATTGTTGGGTAGCATCACTACTAATGCTAGTCCTGTCTATTAGGCACAACGTTTCACTGAATATTGTACATATTCACAAAAATGTTGTTATTCCTTTAAAATATAATCCTATACTAGATTAATTTGTCAAACTAAATAACAGAGACAAAAATATGTCATGCCTGTAGGGCCCTGCTATCTGACATGTTGCATTAGGACAGTTGTTGTAGTACAGTTGACACAATACATGAAAGTATGACATATATATATCTTAATAACTTTTCAAAACAAAGTTACAAATTGCTTCGTAAATAAAAGACACAAAAAAGCAAAAGTAAAAAAAATACCTAGAGACACATAGGGAGGATACAGTAAAATAAGATAGCAAAACAATAATAACACAATAAAAGTGCAGTGATTGTTAGATTTCACAATAAAAGAGAAAGAGACCTGAGCTCCTTCACGTGTGTGTCATTATTCCGAGGTTTCCGGCAGCACCTGAAGGCAGCAGCCTCTCCTCCTCATCCATCCGTTCACCCGGCGTGCGCGCGCGCGCGTGTGTGTGCGTCACTCTCTTTCTTCCTCTCCGTGAACGCGCATCACTTGAGAAAAACGGCGCTCGAGCCCCAGAAGTTCCTCGTCCTCCAGCTCGGCTCCGCTCGGCTCGGCTCGGCTCCGCTCCCCGTCTCTCTCGCTCTTCTTCCCGGTTCCTGATTTAGTTTTTATTTATTTTTTTATTTTTATAACCCCCCCCCCCCCGCCCCTTGCTCCTCCAGCCTCTCCGCCCTCTCTCTCCGCCTCTGCTGACCGGAGGATCGAGCCGGGGTGTGCGGGCTCGAACACTGGGCGTAGCTGGGGAGGATTCCGCTGAGCCGCCGCTAACCACGACCGACCGGTAAGATTGTTTTAGCTAGCATGCTAACTGTCCGCTAACTGTCAGCGGGTAACTGACGCCCGTCTCGTTGAAACCTCCGTTAAATCCGGTCCGAGCTGCTCGTTGACATCACACGTGATTCCGGTTCGAACGGTTCCAGCTCAGGTGATTTTTTTTTTTTAACATCCCAAACACTTCCAGTGTCCCCGTGTGGTTTCTCATTTATAGGATGAGCCTGCTTCACATTCACCGGCTCCTGTGTGTGTTGATGGGGCGGTGGCAGACCGGGAGCCCCTCCACCCCTCCACCCCCCCCATCAGATCATCTTTAACGGGGGTTAAGCTTCACGATGATGCACAGTTTTGAATCCGTGTTTGTTTGTTTTTTTGTGTGTGTGTGTGTGTGTTTGTGTGCTTCTGCAGGACACCTCCTTTGTGAGACCGTTTTCTGAGCTTCTCCCCTCCCTGAACTTTCCAGCCTCCCCTCCCCTCCCTCTCCATCCTCCATCGTGGATGCCCATTGTTCTGCAGATGAGCCAAGTGGTGTGTGTGAGAGCTGAGAAATGTTGCAGCCTCCTCCTGTTCCTCCTGCTCACTCTTTCTCCTCCTCTACATTTATAAATATATATTTTTTAAAGCGTTGGACCATTTCCCCCCCTCAAACCTCTTTTATTTCAGAGGGTGAATATCTCAGATCGTTGTGCACAGACTTGAGCTGGCATGTAATCAGAGGTGATTAATGTCACCCCCCCAAAAGTGATCAGCTATTGTGGTGTGAGAGTGGAAGCTGGAGGGGGCCGAGGCTGCTCCGTCACCGGGTCTTTTTTTTTTTTTGGTGGGTGAGTGCAACAAGACAGATTACACTCCTCTCTGCAGAACAATGGGGGAGGAGAAAAAAACGCTGCCAGTTCCCAAAGCCTGGCCAAGAGCATTTAATAAACGGCAAACATGCAAGCATTGAAAATCTTTATCCACAGCCCACAACTCTGTTCCCTTCCCCTGAGGTGCCGCAGACAGACGACTGAAATCGTCTCAAGCTTTGTGGCCTCGGTGGGCTCGGGTCGGTCAATAATGTGCGGTGATCGACCAGGAGGTATTGATGTCATCCAGAGTAAATGGCATCCCAGGGCGGCTAATATGAGCACTTTTAAGGCTCTGTCACACAGGGCTTGGAGACACTTCAGGAGGTGGGCTAAGCCATCGGCTCGTCCACCCCCCTCCGGTGCATGGATGAGAGAATGGCTGACTCACAGTGTTGGTGGATGAGGCTGGGAAATGGAGGACAGATGCACAGCCTAATGCAATAATGCCAAATTAAATTTAGCTGCCATTAAAAGCCACACTGTTTTTTATGAAGTTATTTAAGACGATCTTAAAGAGGTTACAGGGACGAGTATTACTGCCAGAGGCATTCTGTATGTGGGCACGATTTGCCTAAGATTATACTTGTGTAATTTAACCCGATTATTCTACTTGAGATAAAAATCTGTAAAATTGGAGCATTTTGTCAACGGTGGTTACTTTGCTGCTCTATTTTTATCAAGATGTATCACGCTGTCTCGTTATTATGCTCTGTTGTCAGTCTTACACACGGGAATCAAGGGTGTGAGACAGTCTACGGTAAGAATGAGAGCACAATGCCAGTGTCTGAAACAATCCTTCATGGATGTAATGTTGAAACTGTGATTCAGTTAATCAATGGCTGCGCAAACTATCAATTGTATTCAATTTTTAAATCACCAGCAACATGTTTAAGAGATGTCACTGATTAATTTCACGTCTTTCATAGGATTGTATTTTCGGGGCAATTTAAATTTTAATGACCTATTTTACCCCCGGCTGGCTGCTCGACCCTGAGAGAGGGAGGTGATTGTTGCATTAATAGACCTGTGTGTCAGCTTGCCCTTAGCCTAAGGACTGGTGTTGGGGTGGGTGTGACTCAGAACGGACCCCCCTCCCCAGATCTGAACTTCTCCAGTGTGACAAGGGCAAGCCTGTGCCTCTGGTCATCCTCAGGCTTTTTCCAGCCTGAACCAGTGACCCTTGCACTTCAGAAATGATGTCTGTAGCCCTGTTTTCAGCCATGGAAACAACTGCACAATAGTTTCTTGTTTTGAGATTATCAAAACACCAACAGAAACAGTGTTTGGCTCAGTTTTCCTCTGTTCTCTGGGTGATTGAGGCTTGAGGAAGCCGCCGGGGGCACCGCAGTGAATTTGCAGAGTGAAGATAAACCAGAGATAAACTTCTCTGTCGTCTGTGCTCCCAGTCATGATAGCAGCCCCGGTTGGTGGTGTCACAGTTGTCAGGGCATGCAGTTGGCAACTGGCGGCGTGGTTTTGAGGCTGTATTTGCCAGCAGCTGCAGTAATTTTCTGTTTTCGGACGCTCTGAATTCCTCTGGTGGGAGGATGGTTAATGGATGTGGTTCGCAGCCCTGTTGCTAGGCTTCAGGACCAAAATCTTCATGGCCCAGTGTGTAAGCAGTGCTTGACTGTTTGGTGTAATGCACCCATGGAGATGGTAAATCGGGGCCAACATTGACTTTTGCAATGTCAGTCATTTGGTTTGCTTTACCACCTGTGGCACACAGATATTGGAGTCAGCGGGTCTCTACATTGGCATTGCTGTACATTTGCTGGTCTGGCCCACTGGTTGATATGGTTAGGATTATTTTAGAGGCTGCCCAGCATGCCCACACCATAGCCTTGTGTGGAATGACACACATTTGTTCCAGACACTGGTGCTGACAGAATGACAAACTCCCTTTTACCATCGGCAGCTGTAGGCGTCAATTTGTTTTTCTGTCATTTCATTTCTGCTGGTGACATTTAAATCTGGCTATGCCCTGTCTCAGCGGATTGCTGCTGCACAGATACTTCAGCACCTCCTTGTGAAGTTCTAAATGCACTGGATGTGGTTATGGTTGTTGTGGATGTCAAAGTGTGGCGTTTTAAGACCGGTTTCATGGGGTGTGGTTAAATTCTTCAAAAGCGGTAGCTTGTACCATCCAACCTTCCTGTCGTCCTGCGAGGGATCCGATTCCATCTGGAACGTGCCTTGTTCTACTTCAAAAAGGACGACGTAATCCTCTTACGGACACGGTTGTTCCTCTTGTACTTTGTGTGCATGTGTCCGTGTCCCTCGTGCAGAATCTGGAAAGAGAGAGAGAGAGCCACAGCCTCTCTGGTGTGTTTCTGCCATCTTGTCCAGATGCATCAGTTCTGCCATGTTCCTCCGTCTCTGTATCTGCTCTATCTGGTGTCAGTGATCCAAGCCGCCAGCTGGTCCTGGGCCGGCCTGATCTCATTTACTCAGTGCGAGGAGCTTGTTTGTCGGCAGACGGCCCATTATGGAGATGATCCAGCAGCTCTTCAAGTTACAAATTAGCCTTAGTTTTTCTGTAGGGTCTTCTATCTCGTCTCTTGTCTTGCTGTTCTTTACTTTTCCTCCCCCCTTCTTCCTTTTTTATTGTCCTCTCCTATAACCTTGTCACTGCCATCTCTCTTATCTCCCAGGGGAGAGGACTAACAGCATCAGAGGAACCTGCTTGACTAATGCACTTCCTCTGTCTGTCTGTCTGTCTGTCTCTTTCTTTACCCTGCCCATCTGTGGAGCCGTTGGCTGCTCCCCACTCTCTCCTGTGCGATCAATATCCACACAGTTATACTTTGTGCTGCCCTGCTGGTCGTCCCTGCAGGCGGCGGGGCTCAGCCAGGCTGTAGTAGGGCCCTTGCTGATGGGGCCTTGTTTGTAGTCGGGCTCTGTCTCACCCTTTATTGTTTTGGGGCTTGTGGACCCTCTAGCCCTGCCTCCCTACAGTATTGTCTAGTTTCTGGGACATACTGAGGCCTCTGTTACCACCACGTATCAGTCCCTCATTCTTTCTTGGGCTTCTCTCTGTTCATCTTTCTCTCCGTCCCTGTAGCTGTGTCTGTGTACTGTTTGAGGACAGTCGAGGCCGACTGTACGAGATTAGCATCTCTCTTTGTCTAGAGTTAACAAGCTCTGTCATGTGTTAATCTGCTGTCCCCAGGGGGCCGAGTTTCTCCGAGCCTGGACGCACCATGGGAAGGACGGGTTTGTATGTATGTGTTGTGTGCATCCGATTGTTTAGTGTTTGTCGGGGGGGGGGGGTATGAATGCACACAATTTACAGCCCTGAACTATGAAGGATACAGGAATTCTCCATCATCTGTGGAGGTCCAACTTGTTTTTTCTGATTTTTATTTTCTTCTTTACTACAACAGGAAATGTAATTAACCAAGAGGAATGTTTTAATATTATGTATTTTGAGTCTTATAATCTCTTAATTTCAAATGTAAAACCTCAGTATGAATCTCCAAATAGTCCTTAGGATTAGTGCCAGCCGTTCTGATCACATGTTCGTGTGATCCAGGTGTCTCTCTCATAATCTGCTGCTCCCTCTCACGCAAACCAGCAGCCAAGTAAACAAGACAGAGACAGAAAAAGACTTGTTCCTTCCTCTCAGCGGGGGCCTTTGTTCCGCCACCGTTTGCCTTATTGAGCATCCCAGCAGCCCACTGACCCACTGGAAATCAATGGGTAGATATGACTGTAGTGTGTAATGGGAGTAGGTCCCACTGTCTGGATATTCTTTCCAGTTTCTGTGTATCTAGGTCTCCATCTCGACGCAAGTTTCCATCCAGTTGTTTTAATGCGTATTTTGGATTTGAACACAGGAAGATAAAGATACTGAAACATTACAATGTTTTACTCTTTGATAAGATGTTAACTCGCAGTAGAGTGTGATGGAAACCCACTGTTTTTGCTGTGATGACGAGAGAGTCATGTCCACAGGGGATGGCAGGGACATGTCCCCCTCACTTCTCACCACCTCTTATCATTTTCCAACGGAAAATAATTTAATCACAGACAGTTAGTATTGTCAAAAAAAGATGACAGAAATCTGAGCTAAGGCAGGTTTCCTTTAAAACATGTCACATCTTATAAAGCACCATTACAAAGCATGATAACTTGTGTCATGATTTCTAAATGTAGT